AAATGCAAAGTGTGTACGTTTACTCTTAAAAATCAGCCCCTCATATTTGATTATAATATAGGTATGTCACCTTTAACTCGTTTTCAGAACATTAAGGATCTTGGTGTAATGTTTGACAGCAGATTGTCTTTTGCTGATCATATTAATTCAAGTATTAAATCCGCTTATAGTATGCTAGGCTTTGTTATAAGAAATACAAAATCTTTTACCGATATAGGTGCATTGAAGAGTCTATACTATTCACTCGTACGTTCGAAACTCGAATATTGTAGCCTTATTTGGCACCCATGTTATCAAATATACAGTAACCACTTGGAAAGAATACAGCGGCGTTTTCTCAAATTCCTGTCTTTTCGTGTTGACAATTTTTATCCTGACAGGGGATACAACCACCAATTACTGTTATTCAGTATGCAGTCGCTGAATACTAGAAGGGTGGTTGCAAGTTTATCGTTTTTATTTAAATTGTTTTATGGCATGGTTGATTCTCAGGCTTTAGACCTGGCTCTCGTGAGGCTTCACTGTTTTATTGTCGAAATGCTAGAACAAATGTGCTTGTAAAATTTCCTGTCAATTTAATGGCTAATAATTATAACCAAACAGCAGATCAGTGTGATTTATTTCATTGTAATTTTAATGATGTATTAAGAACTGCTTGGATTACTTCAATAATTTTCAATATTAGATAAAGGTTTTTCTTTTTTCTTCATTGCTATTTATTTTTTTTTTATTTATTTATTTGTTTTTTTTATTTATTGTACAGTAGTCTGCTTATATTATAATTATCTACTCATTTTGTCATGTAAAATGTTTTCTATTGGGCAATAAATGCATTTTTATTATTAGATATTATTGTTATAATTAATCTTACCGTTATTGGCCACATCATTGGCCCAGATTTCTGGTAAGGAATGAAGGAAAACGTCTCCCAAAAGTCCGCCAACTGCAAAACTGAGCAAAGTTTTCAGTTTGTTGGCGCCATCTGAAAATAAAGTATAAATAAATGAAAAAATAATTCATCATCTGAACGAATTAGTCACATATTACTGCGTAGTTGTAGAAAAAAAAAATATTTCCAATCTATTTCCAACTAACCAAAACATAGGATTATTTCTCGATATATCTGAATTCCCAACTGCAATTACTTTAGAAGGAACATTCTTTTCAATGAAGATAACGAATGTTTTTTAACAATACATTTTGATTTACTGGAAAGCAATTAAATTGTGTTTGCCTGATATTAGTAGGTAATTTATAATAATAACTCAATGATTGCGATAAGGATTTGTTATTCCAAACAAAGTAGTAACCAGATAATTTCAAATAAATGCAAAAACAAATACAGATAGTAATGCAATAAAACGCCCCCCTCGTCCTCTTTGTTCGTAATCGATTCACTCCTCTATACCGGGAATTCCTGTCGTAATATTTTTTTTATTAGTCGACTTGTGAAAAACAAACCTTTTGTTGTAAGTCATCCAAATGCATTTTTAGCCCTCTCCGTTTTTGAAATAAAATACATATAAAAACAACACAAGTTGTGGTCATATCACAAAAACTAAAAATATTATCACATTTATTTTTATGCCATCGAATGTATTTCAAAAAAGTGCCCTAGAATGTTCAAATCGTTTTAAGATATCTTGAAAGGGAAACGAGAACAGGCACCCGTCGGTTTAGCCAAAAATCGAGAAACGCCCTGTAGCTCGAAAACGGTAACATATAGAGAGATGCGGTTTGAGCCATTGTTATTTTCTCGAAAAAAGAGCTCTGGACTCGTTTATCAGATTTGCTCTATCTAAGATAGATTCTCAGTAACCCTTGACAACCGACCAATTTAAAAACAAATACTTACTAATGGCATAAAAATGGGACTTCTCCATGTCTTATCTCAACATCCGCATATATTTCTACTTAGTTACAGAATTGTTAATCATCAAGGAGAATAGACTCGTACGAATATTTTTGTAATTTTTATCGTTTTAATTTGATCGAGTGAAACAATAACTGCGCATTTGTCGTGTAGTATATGCAGTTTCATATAGCGGACTATACTTCGGCAAAAGGTCATGTGTATGACGCATAAAAATTGTTATCTCATTCCTATACTGGATGGAACACGTATCGGTATTGTAGGTCATCTTGTCAAAGTGATAAGTTTGTTGAGCTTCGCTCACGATTCTAAGTGTAGATTCCTAGATCTGGGCGAGGTCCGGAACATTTTCAAAATTTAAAAAAATTCCTATTTTATCTGAGTTCTTTACTTAGGTATATCTTGGAACCTATGCATTTTAGAAGAATATTGAAGAGGAAAAAAAGTTTTAGAATTGAATTTTGCAGATACTGTATGTTAGAAATTTTTAAATTTATTACCGATGTTGCAAAATAGCAATAATTGATGAAAAAAGGTAAAATAATCAAGTTTTTTTGTGGATAATTTTTTAAAAATATTTTAATTGCTCCGAGGGCATTCTAATTTTGGTAAAAAAAACTATAGAGTATAATAAAACAACACACCAAATTTCATTAAAATCGGTTCTACATATAGTTTTCGTAAAATAATTATTTAAAAAATATTTAAAAAAAAAAATTTGGAATTTGCAAAATGTTGCACACCCTCAAATAAAGCATGTATATATTTGACCTCACAATCTCACATAGAAAAGACCGCTCAACCTGTCAAACAGTTTTTAAAAAATTGAAAATTGAAATCGGTTGATTAGGACTTCCACAGTAAATTTTTAAAGTTAACTCTTTTTTTTATTTTTAAACAAATAGATTGCATTTATCAATTTGCAATTTAGTTTTTTCAAAAATTATAATTTTGTACTCGGAAAGACGTTTCCTTTTTTTAAAAAAAGTTAAATTCCGTTTATTGGTTCTCGAGATATAAGCGGTCAAAGTTTATCGGCATTTACCTTTAATTCATAAACAATTTAACAATCTTTAATCCAGTGGCTTCGTTTTTCCGAGTTCTATGCTGGAAAAAATTTACATATCCATAAGCTATCGGCAACATAGGTAACTCAGCGGAAAAGCTGTCGCTCGCACTCGCGAAAAGTGACTCGAAACACAAAAAGTGGGGGAGGGGGCTTTCGCTCCGAAACTGAATTCAGAGGTTCAAAATGTGAAGGTACGAAAAAAAATTGCATTATCAGCTACTAATGGACCAAATTCGATTTTTTTTTAATCCGATGTCTCGCAAGTCAAGGAATTCGAATATCGTAATGGCAACTGTTTAATTTGCACATATTTTGTTATAAACAAAGTTTATTATTTATGCATTAAATATACTTTTTTACCCCATGATATTGCATTTTTTCAATGAAAAAATTTGTTTACGTATATATTTCAACACTCTGAATATGAATATATTTAGTTATAATTAGTACAATTATTTAAATAATTTTTGTTTAAACAAATTAAAAAAAAATTATTTGGAAATTAATTTTTTTGTTAAATACAGATAAAATTAAGAAAAAATAGTACTTTAAAATTATAATTTTTGAAAAAAATTAAATTGCAAATTGATAAATGTAATTTAATTGTTTAAAAATAAAAAAAGACCTTTAAAAATTTACTGTCGCCGTCCTAATCAACCGATTTTAATTTTTCAAAAACCATTTGAAAGGTTGGGCGGTCTTTTCAATGTGAAAAAATTTTCAAGTATCTAGATGCTTTATTTGAGGCTGTGCAACATTTTGAAAATTCGAAAAATTTTTTCAAAATTTTTTTTTTTTCAAAAAATTATTTTGCGAAAACTATATAACCGATTTTAATAAAATTTGGTGTGTTGCTTTATTATATTCTAAAGTTTTTTTTACCAAAATTAGAATGCCCTCGGAGCAATTAAAATATTTTAAAAACATTATTAAAAAAACTTGATTATTTTGCCTTTTTTTCATCAATTACTGCTATTTTGCAACATCGGTAATAAATTTAAACATATTTAACTTACAGCATATTGTGCAAAATGCAATTCTAAATCTTTTTTTCATCTTCAGTATTGTTCAAAAATGCATAGGTTCCAATATGTAAGTAAAAACTCAGATAAAATAGGTATTTTTTTAAGTTTTTTAAACATTTTTGCAAATTTGAAAATGTTCCGGACCTCGCCCAGATCTAGGGACCTACACTTTTATTATGTGAGTTGTACTTAGGCTTGCCAGATCTCCGGGTTTGACCCGGAGTCTTCGGGTTTTGATGGTACATCTTCGGGCTCCGGGTTAACATGTCATTTCTCCGGGTTAACGCCCTACCCCTGAAATCCATTTCCCAGGTCATATATTTTCCTTTTTTTTTTAGACATCGGTGTGTATGACTGTATGATTGCTGAACTTTTTTAGGATTAGATATTTCCTTTTTTTTTTAGAAATCGATTTCTTCGTAAACAATTTAACTCAAAGACCTTTTTTTTAGGCATCAATAATTTCTCCGGGTCAGTCATGGAATAGATCTGGTAACCCTAGTTGTACTGAAGGTAATCCAGAAGAAATTTGCTTGCCCCCTCTCACATCCGCCTCAAAACAGATCCATCCTGGACTAGTACTAAATAATACCAAACAATCAGCAAAATTAAAAATGGTCGGGTCACGATAATAGTGATTTGACATGGAATCCCCCTGATACAAATGAAAATTACAGTAAAATAAGAATATATCTAGAAGTAGCCTATATTAATTTCTTTTTTAAAAAATGCCATAAATCTTTTAAGGTACAGAATCCAATAGACAGTAAAATAATTATAACAGAAATATTGTCTGATTTGCAAACTTGATAAAGTAGGAATTTTAGTCAGTGAACATAAGTTAGTTTACAATACTATCAACTGAGCAAGAATAAAATTTGTCATATGATAAGAAATATCTTAAGATTTTATTTCTGAAACGTGCGGAGATATATGAACGTACATATTAATTTCGTTTTATTTTTTAGCAATTTCAAATATTTGAATTTGACTAGCACAGTCAGCATATCTACCTATATGAAGCACGTATATTTGGTTTCAGTACAAGAAAGATTAAAAACGAGCTTAAATTCTTAGTCGCGTATTTTTCGTGCGTAATAAGGAGTAAATATGCTGCCTATGGCATCTTTTCAAATACAGTTTGACTTTTTGTCTTTTAAAATGGTCCTCTTGCAAGTCGATAACATTAATCTTTTTAGAGAAAAAAGAACTTAATGCTTTGGTGCAACATTAAAATATAGTTAAAATGGACTTAGAATAAACATAAAATATTTTTTTTTTGTACAACTACAAGTATTAGTCAAATTATCTTTAACCACATTGATACATTTACACATTCCTAAAAATTGTGAAATTTAATAATAATAACAATAATTTACCAGAATTTGAACGGTTGCAAAATGTTCCAAAATATTAAAATCGCTTTTCTCGCAAACTTTTATCGACTAGAAATAAAATACACTTTTTGTCCGACAGGAAGAAAAGTTACAAAATATTAATTAAAATGAAATAACTTTGAGGTCTTGTTTAAGATTATGTAACTACATTGCAATATTATTTTTATGAGTAGAATCACTCTCTAAAAGTTTTGCACTTGTTTCCGGAACACCTTGTATAACGCTGATATCTTTTCCAGTAATATAAGTGATTATTTTTCGTTAAGTAACAAAAAGCAGTGGTTAAATAACGTAGGTATGCAATCTAAAATGAACAAAAGACCTGTACCTTTGTATTTATATAATATGTATTATTTTACTATATCAAAACATTAATAAAATTAAATTAGTATTATTAAAAAAAATTACATAGCTACAAGACACGCTACGGGCACTTTATTGATCATTTTAATCTTTGTGGTTCGTTTGGATTTTAATTTAATGGTAATTTTCTGATTCGATCTGGTACCGCATAGGAATAAGATTGGTACTATTCCAAATTCAATTTTGTAGTTCAGAAAAATTTGTCAAAATTATACTAATTATACTTATTACGTTAAAAGGCTTAGTGACCTTGAC